TAAAATGTGTTTTAAAAAAAGGGGGGGTGGTAAGAAGACAAGCCAAAAAAAATCTCCGAATAAAAAAACCGGTAAAAGTAATGCAAAGAAACGATCCCTCTTTGATTAAATAAAGATACTGGTAACATGGGAAATCCAAACCTTCTACATTAACAATAAACAATAAATAATTTCTTTACTAAATTAACAGTAATAGAGATTATGCTAAGAAAAAAATACAGATAATAGGGATGACACGAAAATTTTGCCGAATTAAATTTTGTTTCAAACACTAATATAAAATGATCAATTAAATACATTCAAAGGAATTGTATGGTAGAAATTACTATTGTTTCAAATTTCTGAAATGAATGAATGAAAGTCCACTGGAACCTATTTTGCAATTAATTAATTATACCCAATGTTGAAGAAATTAACAATAGTACATCGACAGTTATAATATGAATGAGGATATTTATAAACCAAAAGGAAAAAAAACTATAGATTAAGCAAAAAAGACGTACGCATTTCTATCAGATATATGGCTACATCTCTTGAGAAAACATCACTGAAAGAGCAAAAAGTATGTGACAAATTGTTACGGGTGTAATTTCCAAAAGTTATGAAAATGTTTAAAATCTTTAAAAACATTAATGAGCGTGAAATATAATTATAAAACCTACTATTGAATTCATGATATAAAATAGATTAGTCACATTTTGCGTTGAAATCTTCAACTCTGATACATGTATCAAAATACCCCGCATATCTCAACATTATGCAATTTCTTAAAGTTCCGTTGAAATCTAAATAAAACTTCATATCGTAATCCTAACTGTAACATGACCCAACGGAAAGTAATTAATGAAAAAACACAATTTTTCTTCTTTTAAAGAAATTATTGGCCATTACAGTCGCACGCAAGTATCAACAGGGGTAGGGGGTAGGGATTTACATTGAAAGTCCCCCCCCCCCCCCTCAACACACAACACACACACACAATGACATACACACTTTTTGCAATAGTATAGTCAAATTCGTGCACTATAGGGCAAAAGAATAAGGCAGTGTATTATGTTTGATTAAGAAAATGTGATACTCAAAGAAGACTGAACCTACACCCCATCCCTCCTCAACGGTGAAATTGGATTCGAGTTTCGACCCCCCTCCCTTTTTTGAGATTTTTAAAGGCAAAATTTATTTTTTTCTGACCGAACCCTCACCCAAATTTTCCAAAGGAGTTGTGTAGGGACAGGCGAAGGTACGAGTCAAATGTGATTTTTCTTTTTTTTTTTTTTTTTGGATATGTTTGGTATGTTCTGAAGTAATAACAAGGGGAAAAATGGTTTGCCTAAATATTTTCAGCAAAAGAGAGTCAAAGTAGAGCTGTATATTATTACTTAATTAACAGCATCGCCTCATACAAAAAGCATTAACGTATGTTAGACGTTATAATTCATTATTGGATAAGACAATCACATCGAAATGTGTAAAGCTTATAAGGTATCAAGTTAATTAGCCATTGTCACGGAGGAAAATGAATAGATTACCGTTCGTGGCCGTAAAAAAAATGTTTCGCTTGTCAAGGAAAATTTGGTGGTTGAACGTGCCCACAATTGAAAAAAATATAGCTTCCTAAGGGCCTGCCATTCTTGCGTAAAAATACAGTGGACTTTCAGATATCCGGATGCTTGTGTATCCGGACAATTTTTCATCGGAACGAAAGTTTTTAATGTTATTTTGTCTTGTTTAACGGGTAATTCAGATATCCGGACGCTTCACATATCCGAACGAATTGACTAGGAACCAAAGCGTCTGGATAAATGAGGCTCCACTACCAGTATTCATTCAGTTTCAAATATTAGATTTCGTCAAAATTTAAATGGAACTGTAATTTCGCACAGAAAAGTCAAGCACCTTTTAGTGTACATATAATAAAAAGAGACACGAACAGTACAATTCCCATCTCTTTGATTAAATTATACAATATTATACATAATTGATATTTTTTGAGATCACAGTAGCGGTCCTTGTAAGAAATATACAAATGCTGTGTTCAAGTGAAAGAGGGTACAGGTGACACAAATAAAAAAAAGGGGGGGGGGGTTAATGTGCAGAAATATTTGTAACCGATTTTAATTGTGATTTACATTTAAAAAAAATAAGAAGTTAAAAGACGGTTTCCATTTGAGGTATAAATTCAAAGAAAGTTTTAATTTAAGGTATACGGTATATAAATAATTCATTTGTCCTTCTTTTGCCTATTTACTACTTTTCTACTCCATAACTAAGGCAGGCGACGAAAATGAATTGCAAAAGCAATAGAAACGTAGAACTTTAAACATTTTTATTAAAATATTCTAAAGCGTAAAGAATTTAAAATCCGCTTGCATGGAAGAAGGGAACGTATATTTTTTTTCATGAATGTTTATAAAGCAATAAACTTTTTTAAAAACAAGTTTACATTTCTTAGCGTATCTGAATTTATTTCTAAATTAAATTTTTCGGTGATACAGAAAAAACATGGTGTTTTTTTTTATCGAAACAGAATAAAGTTACGTGCGTGTGTGTTGGTGAGTGAATGCTGTCTCATAAGATTTTTTTAACCATCGGGATCGATGTGCTTTTTCGCAACGGGTGCATTTTAGTATTTGCGCGTGGTGTCCTTCTGCATGGGATTCTCTATCTATCTATACACTTCTTTTAATCTTTACGTGTTACAAGTGCTTTATATATTTCATAAATTGAATTAGATTATTTTATATAAAAGAATAATTTTTATGGATTTAAACAATATTATTTCCTTACTGATTATGTTATAAACCGTTCCTAGATTCTGTCTAGACCCCCCCCTTTTTTTTTTACGAATTTCTAGATCTGCTCTAAAATTAGCATAAAAATAGTAATAACATATGAAATCCCTTAGGAATAGTTACATACTAGTCCCTTGGAAGAAAAAATTCTCAAAACGATGGAGGTTATTAAAAAAAACATGTAACTTTAAGATTTTTTGAAAACTGAATAAGACACAGTCAGGCGACGTCATTACGTTTTCAGTGAGTAACGTCAAAGTTATTTTTAGAGCGCCTCATTAAAATGCTCATAAAATCCCGAAAAAGTTAGATATTTTCAAAATTTATATATATTTGCATTCAAAAAGAGCCCGGCTATCAAAATTTGCCAAAAAGTCAATTTGTGAAAATTTGACCTTAAGGGCCCTTTTCTCGTGACGGCAGTCAATTGTTAGTCCATTATTTATACACTGAATTGACGACGGATTTTTTCCGTTATTTCCTGATCATGACAACGAGTACACGGCTGTGTGACCGGTCGGCAGGGGATGCTCACTCCTCCATTGCACCTGATCCCACTTCTGATGTTTCGGAGGTCATTGTTTGCTCTGCTCTTATTTTGCATATTGTTTAATGGACGTCGAGATTGAATTCAGTTTGTTATCTCCATACCTTTCTTTTAAAGAACCACAAAGCCATGATTGGTCATATTTTTATGTAAGCGTCCTCACGTAGTGTTGATTCAAGTTTGTTTAAGTCATGAGCAGGCAGTAGGGGATAGGTACTTTGGGCGACAATTGGGGATCAAAGTTTTGCCCAGAAATATCTAGGAAAATTTTTTTCTAAGAACACAAAAACCATGTTAAATCATATTAATATGAAGGCAGTCTCAGGTAGTACAAAGTCATACAGGTTTAAATGAGGCCTCCCAGGTGTAGGGTTGGTCCAAAATGGGGGGGGGGTCAAATGAATAAATAGGAAAATAATCACCTGCTCAGAAACAGATAAAGCTTTTGTTGTTTGGAAGCATCATCAGATAGTTGGTAGTTCAAAATTTCAGATCCCCCTGTACACTTCTCAATACTGAAATGATTTCTGCTTTATTTTCCAGCCAATGTGCCAAGGTGAGCGATGTGGCCCATGGGTCTCTTGTTGTAACCTTAACTGCATGTGCTGCGCAGAACAGATATTTTAAAAGCTATATTGCACTTACACTATATATTCAATTTCTTTTTTTTAAAGCACTACCACCTCCTCTTCTTTCTTTGACTAGACTGTAACGTGCCTGTTGAAAGCAGGGAGGTGAAAGCAATTTCACATTGTTCAATGCCTATATTATGTTTATCTTTGCAAAAAAAGGGGTAAGCATCGCTGCCCCCCCCCCTTCCCGACGCCTATGGATTAAATAAGATTTGTGAAAACTAAGTCATAAATATGTGTTTTTTATGCTGTTGAATTTTGAACCGGTTTCATTATCAAAATTCCACGACCCGGCTAAGTTTTCAACGGACTAGGGCCTTTATTAAACACCTTTGGCCTCACTATTCAACGTTGAAAAATGACCCCCGGCTCAATTTTCAACCCGGGTCAATATTCAACGTTACACCGGAGGTTATTTAGAGACAAGCTAACAGGAAGCATGAAAACACACAATAGGGCACAACCACCCCAATCTCCCAACCCATGACGATGGGGCTGCAAATTAAAAACGATGAAGGACAACACAGGAAGCAAAAGGCCAACTTATATTTTCGGCACATAAATGATTGAATTTTATTAAAAAAAAAATTTCAAACTGCGTCTTTATACGTATACATATTTTAATGTGTCCTCTTTAAAAATTGTTCCTTTAAAACACTGCTACACATATTAAAAAAATGACTTCTAAATAGGCAACTTTTTTTAAGTATGTCAGACAAATTTAAAAGAAGTTACTAGACATATAAGACTTCTGTTTGTTATTATGATTATAGTTAATCTCGAATTCGTTTAATGCAACAGACCCTCAAGATTTTACATATTCTAATGTGAATAATGAAAAATGAAAAATGAAAAAATATGAAAAATGCCAACTTTATTTCTGCTTTAAAAAAGTAAATAACAGATTTCATAACAGGAAAAAACAAATTAATGGCTTAACCCATTATCATAAAAAAACCTCTCATCTGAAATAATGAATGAAATAAAGAATAACAAATCTGAAGGGGATGTCACTATTTTTTTTTTTAGAGTCAAAGCACAAGATTCTATATGCCGAATCTCCCTGGAATGGTCCAAGAGTCATCTGGAAAAGTTATGAAACTCAAAATTCAATGGGATGATGGAAATATCGGCAATGAAATAGAAAATGACCTACAAATTCTGCTTTATGATAACAGTCAAATAGGTATGGACATTTTAAGCTTATTTGAGGCGTATACTCAACTGAGCTTTCCTGATCAAAGAGTGTAGGACGTCGTCTGTCGTATGATCTAAATATCGCCTTCTTCTCGAGAACTTCTGGGTCATTTTCAACCAAAGTTACCACAAAGTATCTTGGGTGATGAGGATTTTCGTTTGTTCGAAGGAAATACAATGACCTCTTTCAAGAAAGGATAGGATTACATAGGTATTATGCATAAGAAGCAAATGCGTAATACCCATTGAAGACTATACATAGTGGATGTTCAATCATCAATTAAGAAGGTTTGGCTACGAATAAAATAAAAGTATAAAATTTATGCACATGTGTTAAGTATCATAAAGAGCAGTTCCTCCTAATAGGAACTTAGGAAATAAACACGATGAAAGAAGTACCCTTACCTCTCATTTTTAGGTTAAAGAGATAAAATTGAGTACTGTTTGATTTAACCTCATACATAGCAGTCTTTATAATAATTACAGCCTTTAAGTCAGTAAAAAACATAAATATACATTTAAAGAACCATATAATACTTTTTTTTTTACATAGGACAGATCTTAAAAAGAAAATCTTCTTCTCAAGAACAACAAAGTCATTATAAATTAATACAGAACCAACCTTAGGTATTGCAAAATCACGCTTCTTCTAAGTTTGACTTCCGGGGGTTCGGAGGAAGAACGTTAGAGGGCCAATATTAACATAAGAAATTATGATCATCATGTTGAAAAATCTTCTGCTCAAGAACAGGAAATCTATAATAAGTTGTATTATTAAAGAGTCAAATTAAGATAAAGCAGATTCAAAGGACAAGATAGGGTAAGGGTCGAATCTGAAACCTTATTTGATGTAAAAATCACAACAATGGTAAAATTAAGATAGTTTGTAGTTAAGAAGTTTAAATGATGCTTACCTTAAGACAAGCTTTAATTTAGATTCAAATCCTACATGGAAGCCACTAGAAGGTGCAGAAGTAGAACCTTTTCAAGAGTTTTCTCAATTATGGTAGAATTTTATCATAATTGAGATACTTTTCTCTTCGTAAAACATAGAGCAAAAGCTTGCCTATCTGAGATTTTCATACATAAACTGCATCTATTATTATTGTATACAATATATAAATTTGTTAGATAGACAAGCTTGTTTTCTGAAAAAAAAAATTGCCGTAAAATCGATGAAATGTTGCAAAAAGATGAAAAATACGAAAATTGACCTACTTCCTGACCTCTCTGTGACCTCTGTATATTACAAATCTTAGAACCAACACTCATTTTGTGGCAGGGGTGACAACAGGTTTTTATGGATAAACTGTTGGATCATTCTGAAAGACATCTAAAATCGGGGGCCATATAAGGGTCCTACCCTATCTTGTCCTTCAAATTTAAGATCAGTAGAGACAGGCCACAATGAGCAAGCAGAATCTTATACAGGGATATAAAGAAACATATTTGATTTTAGATTTTTCTGCTAAATAACTGTAAAGATATGATATAGAAGCATTTAAATGTAGTGTTAATTGCCCGACATGTAATCTTTTAATGTAGAACAAAAATCTCCTTCGTCATACAGTCCCTGAAACGTTCTACTTTCCCACCTGAACGGTGAACGAACGCTGAACGAACGGTGAACGAACGCAGAGCGAACAGTGAGTGAACGATGTGCGAACGGTGAACGCAACTTGGTGAACGATGTGTGAACCGTGAACGGTGAATGAACGCAGAACGCGAACGGAGCGCGAACGCGAGCGCAAAGTGAACGGTGAACGAACGGTGAACGCAAGATGAACGATTAATTCGGAATGCCTTCGGTCTTTTCCTTGCATTGAAATTATTGTTTTATTCTATAATTGAAATGTCATAAATAAATATAAAAAAAAAAACAATAGATAAACAAAAGAGAAATAAATAGATAAATAAATAAATAATAAAAAAAAAATCTGCACATACGTATGTTAATTGATATTTTAATAACATGATTTTAATCGCCGTCTAACGTGTATTTGTTACCGCGTGTTGTTAAAAAATAAATTAATCTTATATAGTAAATAGTTATGCTTATTCTTTTAACTAATAAAATAATGTGGACTTTAGAAGATAAAACTACTACTGAGATAAACAATAGATAAATAAATGAATAAATAAAAACATTTTTTTCTGAACATACCTATGTTTAAATCGATATTTTAATAACATGATTTTTATCGCCTTCAAACGTGTATTTGTTACCACGTGTACTTAAAAAATAAATTAATCTACATATATAGTAAATAATTATGCTTATTCTTTTCACTAATAAAATGATGTGGACTTTTGAAGATAAAACTACTACTTATAGAATGGATTAATTACCTTGTACGAGGTTGAAACATCCGTACATATATTACCGTGCCAAAGCGATTCTGAGTTGTCATTCATTCATTCTATCTTCATTTCGCACCGTAGGAGATTGCATGAATAAGAACATTTCAAATCATATTAACATTACAAAAGAAAAATAGAAAAATAAATACATATCAATTAGGAGAAAAAAAGATAAATGTATACATTATATTACATTAGGAAAGAACAAGGTTGCTGACTAGAGCAATATACGAGGTAGAAAAAGAACTAGGATGCTAACAGTAACTATGGACAGGTCACTCTTTTCTCCTACGCAACTGTCTGTTAAACCACGCTGCGGTATCCCTGAGGAAACGAAAATGCAACATATGTAAGCTGGGCCCATCAAAAATGAGATAAGGTGCTTGAGAATAATCTAGCACCTAGCAGAAAAAGGTATAGGTCATGTGGACTAAGACCGGAAAGTTCGGCATTTAATATGATTTCAAAGTCTTCGATCATTGTGTCCCACCACGCTTCGCGGATGGCGGTTGTGCCCGAGCAGGTTGTAGAGATGTGCCCAAAAATGTTCCTGAAGTTTCCTTCGCAGAGGGGACAAGGTTCTGGAGGAGAGTATGAAAGAGTCCACAGCTTGACAATAAATTTACAAATTTTTATTTCGTGGATGTTGCTTGGAATTTCCCAGATAGTTTGCGGAGATTTCCCTGCGGTTATTGTATTGAAGAGAAGAAAGGACGGATCTGATTACATCCGATGACGTCTTGATTCCAAATGTACGTTGAATGACAGCTGCTTTAACATATCTTTTCCACGGGTAATTTGGGGGGAAGTGACCATCTTGTAAGTATATAAGGAGGTACTGATGGAGGTCATACTTATACAAAAGAGCCATGACGTCATTGATAAAGCCATAATGTTTAAGTTCGGGAGACGGTAAGTAAGAAAAAAGCCGGTGGAGAAAAATCTGTTTAGTTAGAGTTTTGCTATCCAGTTCACACAAACGGCCGAAAAATTGCAGTTTTCTTTTGTCAAATTCAGACGAAATCGGAAGACGTCCAAGTAAGGATTCACAGATATCAGATCTGGTGTCTTTTGGTAGACCAACAGCATGCTTGCATATGAAGTGTTGAAAAGTGCTAAGGGCTTGCAGATCCCTCTGACGTAAGTTGGACCAAAGTTCACATCCGTACAAAGTCGAAGGGAGTACAATTCTGGTGAAAAGCCGTTATATGGTGACTGGGTTAAGGTATTCTTGTATTTGGAGGGCCAAATAAGCCCGTCATCCTTTCCTGCGTGCATTTTCAATTTTCTCGGTATGGATGAGTTTGGATTGAAGAAGAATTCCTAAATGGTTGTACGTGTTAGATAAATAGACAGGGTCTGGACCAAGAAACCATACTGGGGACTCGTCATAGTTGGTAGATGTTTTAGAAAATCGAAGAACACTAGACTTGTCAGCGTTGAACTTAAATCTCCAAGTTTTAGAATAGTCATATGCTGTGGAAAGAATGTTTTGGATTGCTGCAGGATATAATCCTAGACAGGAAATGTCATCTGCAAGGGCAGGATTAGAACTTGTGATGTTGTGGATACCCATATTGGGACATTTATCCTGAATGTCTAGAAGTAGATCATTTATGAAAACTAAATAAAGACATGTAGAGAGAACCCCTCCTTGACGAACTCCTTGAGATACGGGAAACCAGTTCGAATTTACGTTATTTACCACAACAGAACAGGCGGTATTCGTATGGCAGTCGTCTATGAGATTCTAAAGCCGACCAGATACTCCCAGGCGGTGCAGCTTGTACATAAGTCCATGTCGCCACACTGTGTCAAATGCTTTCTGAGTATCCAAGAAAGCAACATATACCGGACTACCAAGTTCTATATTATGATATATAGTTTCTTGGAGGTTAAAAGATGCAGTGAGACAGCCGAGCTTCTGCTGGAATCCCTGTTGTTGTGTGTTTGGAAATTCAATAGCAGATAGAACATGAGATTTTATCCTGCCTAATAACAGTTTTTCAAAAATCTTAAGAAGCTCGGAAGTAAGGCTATTGGTCTATAACTGTCTGGGGATTTCCGTGGTTTGTTGCTTTCCTTGTGTATAGGGACAATAATGTCTTTATTCCAGGAGTCTGGGATTTGACCAGTTTGTATGATTAAGTTAAAAAGATGCTGTATACATAGTTTAAGTTCTAAGCTCCCGTAGATATGTTCGTTCTGAATTTTGTCTAACCCAGGAGCTTTTCTGTGTTTTAACTCACTGATGATCATGGAAATTTAGTCAATGGTGACATCTCCGCCTGGGAAGAATTTGTCGGTCAGAGTTTTGGTAGTTGTTTTCAGATTGGTGTAAAATTTTTTAATATATTGGAAGAAGTCAGAGTTAAAGGTTCCGTTATCCTGTGGATTGTATATACGTTCAAAGTGTTGTGCGAAACAGTTGGATATATCCTCTGGGTTTGAGTATGTGACATCATCAAGTTCTATTTCAGGATATGTTCGAGACCTACGAGGTCTTTGACGTTTGATGAGCTTCCAAAATAAACGCACATCACACTCTGAGGCTTCGTCAATGTCCATAAATACCTTGGTAAGGAAATCGTTGTGCGCAGATTGAAGCTCTTTACGAAAGTACCTTTAGGCGCGCTTGTAGTTCCTATAGGATTCATGGCCCATACCACGCGGTCGACCTTCACTCATCCAAA